AACAGAGACAGTAACTCAGTTATGAGAAAGAGAAAGACAGACAACCACTATATAACAAGAACAATCACACATATATATAACAATGGACTGGGAAAGTTCCAACATAAGTTGGGAAAACACATATTACGAAAGAGAAAACGAAACATGGAAAATTCCAACATACGTGAATAGCGACTTAGAAGGAAAAATTCAATGAGTCACTACATCACATTTCGTATCAACATAGATGTACATTGTCATTACTATTCTTGTTTCTCTCTGGCTAAAATTACAATAAGAAGAGAATCTCCTTTTATATATTTCACGATGTTTTCATGTACACCTTTTCAATTTCGTCTACTATACATACTAAAAGATGCTACCAAGCGTTTTTTCCAAGAGTGAAGATTTTACACTTTGTTTTGTACTAAAAGTACAAAAGTGTATTGAAGCATAAAGTAATATGTTTACTTCTTGACGGAAGATACCAATTTATACCTTTTACAATAATTAAGGTGTGTGTAATGAATAAAAAATAATTTAATTTGAATACTTTTTTAAATATTTTGTAGCAAAATGGTACTTTATAATTTTTATTTTCTTATAATTACTTTTTATTCACATCAAAAACTAAAGAAACTGTGATTAAAGTTCTGTGAAATAGCATCGTAGGATGTTTATTGACATGTAGAAGTTGATCACGACGATCGTATAGTTCAATTGGCTAATCGACGAGTAAGTGACATATTATATGCATGTTCGAATCTAACCTTCACCCCTATATTTCTATCATTTAGACTAGTCCGGAATCGACCGGTACATCAGACTACAACTCGTCGTATTCAGCGTCCCGGATGCTCTTACTTTTTCGATTTAGAATCTTTCTAGATGGACAACAGTATGATACAACACGTCTAGTCTTTTTTGATAAAAAGAGTACACATAACAAACAGAATGACGCCTATCAGTCGAGTAATCAAGACGTGTTCTGTGGAATACAAATGAGTTTGGACTAGTCATGTACCAATCGGTTTTGAAACTTCCTTCAAAATAGTGCAGTTTCTTATTTTTGCACTGATAAAAATTGATAACATAGGTGTCAACGATGGCAAGTAGTCATCGATTGATTTGCCATAGCCGTCATATGGGGTATGGGTGGGTGTGGGTTTGAGTGTGAGGTGTGGGTGTTCATATGCATTTCACTCACGCGCAGACACCAATCCACACCGACACCCACATCCCACTTTCGGCTATCCTTAAACGACATTGATCACTATCTGAGATGAAACATATCGACAGTTCGCTGTTCAAAAAAGAATTCTCGTTCAGTATCGCTTGCGACCGTCACATCTCGAATGAAACAGCAAGAAGAGAACCACTTTAGCAGCATGGACATGACCAACAGGACAAATAAGATGATCAGACAGAAGAAGTCGTAGAATCGCCACGTCCTCTAGATTTACAACCCGTCTTAATCGTTCCATCAGATCATTCAACGAAGAAGACTTTTTCTGTGCACTATTGATTCAAAATAGTTTGAAAAAAGATTCCATTCGCTATTGTCCTGTTCATTGCACTTTAACTATCCAATGAAGTGAGAATGGGTCGAACGAGAAAACATTGACTTATACTATTTAAATCAGACTTGTTTGAACCGCATGATTTGAAAAAATACCCAGAAAAAGAACCAAACATTTGACCAAGAAATTTCAAATGATACCTGTTCGCTTAAATAAGACATTATTGCTTATGTTCGTTTCATAGATAAGACATGATTTGTTTATTTAAAATACAAAAACTAATCAAGACTAATACACACATAGGTGCAAATAAAAGTCTTCTACAAACCTAATACACACACAGGTGCTAATAAAAGTCTTCTACAAACTCGCTGAGGTGATACGCTGGCGACATACAGGACAGATATGCGTAATTGCTAGCCAAGTGGATAGACAACCTGAATGAAATAAATGACCACATGGCAATCTTTTTACTTCTTCATCGACCGGATAATCCGTTCGGCAAATGGAACTAGCAAAAAATCAATAGAAGCCTAGAGATTATCATCGAACAATCTTTGATGTGTATTTTTACTGACCATTGAGTTTGATTGAATTCATCAGATACTGGATCAAAAATAACTTTTGGTAAGGTGTCAATAGTATCTGGTGATACCGGAGGATTTGGATTGGTCGCACCAGGATTATCCGGTAGTCTTTCCTGAAACAGAGAGAATTATCGTCAAATTTCGGATGTTGAAGATAACATCTACTCGAAGCATTTCGACAAGTGGAACAGTAATTGGTGCCGGTAAATATTGTGCAAGACAAGTTCCAAATGCCAAGCCACGACAACGAACAAGAAATGCCAGTGGCCAGATAAAAACTGGCAGAAAAACGCGAATCAATTGCCATATCCAAAGAGTGTTATATAGATTGGGAGCAACGATGCGACACGATCCACCTGAACGAGGTCTAAATAGAAGAACAGCTCCGACTGAAAAATAGTAGACAAGAATGACCATTATCGCATAACATATCATATAATGAATAGCGGATAAATAGACGAACAATTTTTGCCAATTCGGTAGACAAAAATAGAGTTGATTGAGAATGGTAGCAATGATATTCATAGTGACTAGACAACCAATTAAAATCAGTCCAATGTAGCCAAATGATTTGAGTGGTGCATCAAAATAGAGATCTTCAATGCGACTATAAACGCATGTGGATTCATGAGTTCGAATTGTCGCAAATGCCATAAAACCAAAATAAATACTATTGAAAATAATCGATAAGATCAAAAGAAAGCATTCGAAAATCAATGATCGTCTTATGGGAAGTGAAGGTTTTGATGGCCAAATAGAAATTAAAACCCATATATTGAAACAAACAATACCCAAGCAAAAGCGAACAATTTCACAGTCCTTATTGACTAGTCTCTTCGATGTGAATGCATAGGCCATACCGACACAAACGCATATAAATTTCAGAAAATGAAAGAAACTGCGTAGAGCATAGCCTTGACGATATCGACGTGCAGTTTCCTCATCAGCCAAAGTCCTATGACGTACAAACCAGTTTTTTATGACAAATAGAAGCGTCAAAGCAAGTGCAATGCTACCAAAAACAAGTATACAAATGGATACAATTGCCAGTGCATTGGAGACGCTACATGTTCTTGTACCATAGTGAAGACCAAGAGACAGAAGAACAATATCAATGAGATTATAGCAGAAACGAAGTAGACCACCGGAAAATAGACGATCAAGTTGAGCTAATGAATCAACCCATGTGGAAGACTGCTCGTGTTCATCACCTGCAAGAGCACGTGTTGAACTTGCCTCATTGATTGAATCGCTGTGAATGTAGGTGTTCGCTATACGATTAAGTGCTCGACTTGTTGCGGTATTTAATTGACTACGATTGTTTGGCACCACAGACATAATAGATGAATGATCAAAATCTAAAAGAAATGGAATGTAACAGACTCGATTTTGTATAACAAAAAATGCTAAAATTGAAGAAAAAACGAATCCTAAATGAGAGAACTGCTCCCGCATGAATTCTATCACGTGTCTTTTATTTCTCGAGAATGCACACGAAAGAGAAAGATTTTTGTTAGTATTAGGAGAAAAAAAAAGAAAGCGAAGAAAAAAGCATCAGACAGACACTCAGATGAATGATTCATACTTTATAAAAGTGTATGTTGTTTGCATTCGCTCCTTCCCCACATGCGTAAATATGTCGAGGAGTAACGCAAATCGTCAGTGTTAGGTTCCGTTTCCTTTTATTTCAAAATGTTTACTGAAGATGAACCTAAACTTCTTAACAAAAGAAAAAAAGACAACAAGAAAAAAAATAACAAGTAGACAACCGTTAGACCGTAGATCAATAGCACATATATAAATATTTTTTACGTCTTCACTCGGTCTAGTAAGCACACAACGACTACTGACTAGTGAAGTAAGGAGAGATAGAAATAGAGAGGAAGAAGAAAGGAGAATCATCCATCTATATATAAAATATAGATGGCGGATCCTAACACCTCCCCCTTACAAAAGAAAAAAAAAGAGGAAAAAAAAGAAAGGAAATAATAACAATAAAACAAGAACAACAACAAGGAAAAAGCAAAAGAAAAAAAAATATATGACTAACTTAGATGCACAGGAATTACAGAAATATATTCATTGGTAACAATTGTTCATATTCATCTTGATGTTTTGACGATTTCAAATCAATATATAAAGTTGAATTCACGATGTTGACATTTCGATATTTAATATTATAAATTTTTAATATATGTTTTGCCATTGTAATAGTCGTATTAATTGGCCGAATGACTTCATAGATATACCGATTCTTGCGATAACGAAGACTTGTTTTATGATTTCAATTTTTTCGTATTGCTAAGGATCGAGGTAGATATTTTTTAGTTGTTGTAATAATAATGTTATTTGACGATGTTGAACTCTCTGAAGTAGTTGCGTTGTGGAGGTGATGATGTTCATCTTCGTCATGAACGATCATCGAATTATCCATATCTTCACCATATAACAAGTTGTTGGATGATTCATTGTGAAAGAAATTTTGAAAAAATTTTTCATATTCATATAAACGATACTGGCCTGCGTTGATGGAATATTTGATGCATTTTCGAGAACTAGGTGTATGTGAATTATACATGAATAAGATTAATTGTGCTACCGATAGGCAATTGTACGTAACATATTCAATTAATTTTGCCCGACGAGATGTAGATAAAGTTTTATCATTATTTGAAAATCGAGGATCTAATCATCGTTGCAATGTATATCTCTTGGATAAGTATTGGTTGAATATATATGCGATCGAATCTTGAATGGCCCAAGCTTCATTCTTTGTTAATTTAATATGATTAATTGTTTCAGGTGATAGAAATAATGTTAAATCATTAGCAGGTGCAGTAATGATTAATGTATCATTATTCGTATCTGTAGTATCATCATTAATTAATGATGAACATTGTAACCATTCATCAAATCAAATTTTAAAAACAGTTTGACTGTTGTGTAAATAAGAAGGTAAAGGTAAAGAAAAAAGTTGAAATTGTAAAAACGAATTTAATTCAGCAAGTAATAAACCCCAACAATATAAATATGAATCATCACGAAAAATAATATTGAATAATTGTTGTAATTTATTAAATACGATTGAAGCATAATCGGGTAATAAATTTGCTTCAACAATTAATAATAAAGAAATTTGTTGTGTATCAAGCATAAAAAATATTTGAATCAGAACCGGATGATTTGTACGATAATCAGACTCTGTATCAAAAATGAAATGATGTGTTTCTTGAGCTATGAGAAATAAATCATCAATTTCTTCGATGGTCATATAATGATTAATAAAACATGTTTTATATTGATGAACTGGTCGATATGGAGCAAGTAGTCGTTGTTAATAATTTTCTGCTTCATTCTTGTTAATTTGATGTCGTTTATTTTTTGGTATTTTTTATGAACAAATGAACTTCGATGAGTCACCGGACATTGTAGAAAGCAACATAAATGATGTTAAAAAAAATAAATCTGACAATAATATTATAATAATATAATAGTAATATTATAATAATACTAATAATTTAACTCAATCTAGATGAACAAAAACATAATAATATGAATGGACATAACATAAATGAATAAACTTGTAAATAATAATAAAACAGTAAACAATATCAACAATGTAAATCAATAAATAAATAACCAATGTAAATCAATAAATAAATAACCAATATAAATCAATAAATAAATAACCAATGTAAATCAATAAATAAATAACCAATATAAATCAATAAATAAATAACCAATAAAGACTAGATGAACTAAACCATTTGTAAACAATAAGTGGATATGACTAAATCAAACGACTAAACATATAAGTAAATAAACAAAATCGTAAACAAGATCAAAAGAGAAAACAAAAAAGCAACTAAGTATGACAAATAATAACGAAAAAAAAACGTGGATACGAAATTATTAACAGGATCAGTAATGAATATTACAGGTTGTTAAATCTACAGTGGTAATTAATCACATTAATAAACCTAGAAATGAACAGAGCAAATATAATAGAAAAAAAAATAATCAAAAATCAAGGTTAAATGTGTAAATAAAAGAATCAGATAAATACATAACAATAAATAACATCATGTGATAATCTCTTGATAAGTGGACAGATCCATGGACAAATGACTAAACGCAAGTGTTATACATATAAATAATAAACAAATGAAAATAATAGATGACGTAACATGAGATGTATTACGTGAAATAATATAATTCATTGACCATATAGTAATACAATTTGTATGTATTGGTGAATGTGGATATATATCAACGATTGAAGTAAATGTATAAAATATTTTATAGATGAAATAATTAATTATATTTTAATATAGATATTTAATAATAACTGGTTCATATATAAATACAGATTATTGTAATATGGTTGATGGTGTTATTTTAACCGAATATAATGTTTTATTGTATCACATATTTGTTTGATCATGATAGGTTGTTTGATTGTATTATTTGTTTCAACATTTTAGTTTTTTATTTGTTTGTTTTATATAAGATTCTTCCCATGTCGCCACTTTTTTAACAACTGCGTCGCAATTCGATCGCATTCGAACACATGGGATTGGTGCTGATAATACTAATACAAATTTTGGTTGCAATCATTCTGTGTTTAGTTGAATAAAATCTGAAGTTTCAAATTTGTTGAAAGGTAATATTACAACAATAATTTCAAAATTTGAAGAGATTCAGAAAAATACCTTTTTTTTTTTATTAGATAACTGCTATTGTCATATCCTTCACAGTTCAGTGAAAAATTCTCATCACCTTCTATTAGTTGATATTGAATCAATTTTATCTCAGCTTTACAGTCATTTTAGTTCATCATCTAAAAGAGTTGCAGAACTAAAAGAATATTTTGAATTTGTTGAAGAAGATTATCTGGTAGGTATTTGTAGTTTTTGCTTTATATTTTTATATAAATTACAAGCTACTATCTCTAGCATTTATTACAACACATAAAACTTCGTTGGCTTACTTCATATATATCAATTGCATGCTTATTAAAAGTATATGATCCATTATCTGCGTATTTTTTAAATATGGTGAATGGCGATGCAGATGAAGCAAAGTGTCCACCTTCGATCAAAAGATTGTTTTCATCAGATGTGACCAAATGCACATTACATTTTTTACATCAAGTTTTGTTTGATATTCAAACAAAGAACTTGGAACTTCAACGATATAGTACTTCAATTGCCGATTTACATCGGATTATTACGAGTTTACCTAAAAAATTGAATGATCGATTAGAACAAAAATATTTTGGACACCAAACAGGAATATTATTAAATGCAATGCCTGAAGATGTACACGAGAAATTGATTTATTCATTCGTAAAATATTTGAGAAGTATCATTCAATATATACACAAGTATTATGATGAATATTCATTATTAGCTGAATCAGTAGCTTTGAAATTTATACATACACTAAATGTAGAACATGGATTTTTTATATAAATTTAAATTAATCTCAGATATGAGTAGCAACAACAGAAAAAATATACGAAATCAAACATTCTACATTCAGTGTATGTATAAATTTCAAAAAGAAAAGCAACTATTAAAAAACATGGTACACAGTATATCTCTCTATTTAGAGACAAAAACAAAACAAACAAAGACAAAAAACAATTTCATGTTATTTATTTATTTATTTAAATTATTCTATAGTTTTTACATCAGATGATGTTATTCATCCTATTTGGTGGTGGTTTTACATCAGATGATGTTATTCATCCTATTGGTGGTGGTTTTACATCAGATGATGTCATTCATCCTATTGGTGGTGAACAAAAATCAGGTGGTGTTATTAGTTTAATTTGTGGTGTTTTAAAATCTAGATGGTCATGAATTAGTTTTATTTTTTATTTTTTCATTTATATGATTCTATTAATTATATCTCATTCATGTCGTTTTTTCCATTAAAAACAACAATCATAATGAAATTGATAAAAAATTATTTTGTTCTGATGATGGGTTCATTAAGCCCGAAAAATTTCAACTATAACTATTTAAATTATTATTACTATTGTATTTTTTCATACATCTTGATATCTGTATTGTAAAAATAAAAATGATATTAAATATAAAACATCTCTACTAAAATCAATTGTTGATTTCGTATATTTTTTCTGTTGTTGCTACTCATATCTGAGATTAATTTGAATCAGTAGCTAATTTTGGTATAGTTTTTGGTGACTTAGCACGAACAAAATAAAACTCTATTTGCTTATAGGTATAACTGAAATTGATCAAATTAAATTCGATCAAATTGAAAAGTGTTTTGCTATTCTAAATCTTGAAGTTGATCATGACAAACTATTCAAGGAAACGATTAGTTTACAAAATACATATAAAGAAGTTAATTCTTATCGCGAACCATTATTTGTTCAAATTGAAAAATATGTTGGTAGTCATAAAATCGAAAAACAAATAGATAATGAAGTACTTGAAGAATCAGATGATGAAGAACTTGTTCACAAAACACCAACACAAACACAAACTCAACAAGATAGTTATCATAAAATTCGACCTGATTAGCTTTGGTCGTTCTTAATTACCAAAACAACAACAAATTGTGATGAAATGACAAAGCTGGCTTCTTATGTCTATTCAATTCCATGTTCTAATGCATTTGCCGAAGGTATTTTTAGTCATATGAAACATTTATGAACAAATAGTCGAAGTTCAATGTTAAGTGAAACTGTAGCTGCTGAATTAAAAATACGATTGAATTGTAAGATGAAATGTAATGAGTTTTTTACATTTATTCAAAATGAACCTGAACTAATCAAATGTGCTCGATAACAAGAAAAGTATAGTCATATTAAAAAACCTTGTTCCAGTTAATTACAATATTTAGCATGTCTTGATTGGAAATTTTTTATTGTTTTGTAGAGTATAGGTCTTCTATTTAAATTATGACTTGATTGTGACAGTGTTCTTTTGTGAAAAATACTCAATAAACTCGAAATCTAATAGAGAACAGTGAAACATTATGTTGTTTTTTAAGAGACAAGGTTTTTTAAGTAGTTTTTCCAAACTAATCCTTTCCTTTCCTTTTAGAAAAAAATTGAGTACCCCAACGATGTATCCCATCTAAAAAAAATTTGTACCCCAACTGTATCCCATTTGAAATCTGATGTAGGACATTTGAAAGTCAGTACTTGGCAGCCCTAGTGTGGGTGTGGGTGTAAATATACACAGAGACATTGGTACACATCCACACCCAGCTCCTTCTTTCTACGAGATTCTTCATCAAATACATAAGGCTCACCATTGGAGCAATCTTTATCAACATCATGAATACATTATTGGCAATTTTCGACTTCAAAACCTATGATTTTTAGGAATCCGAAACATCTAATTTCGGATTTCGGGATTCGAGCAAAGTGCACCTGAAAGAGTGTCCTGACAAACTTATTTTCATTTATTTTTAAGTTAATACGATGTCATAGAAGGAAACTTTAAGACACTCAATTCTATGGCGGATAGGCAGCCATACTTGGAACCGAATCAAGAGACCAGAGGTGGGTGTGGATATGCTTGGAGAGAAGATCGACTCATATCCACACCCTCAAAGTTCATCGTAAATTCGTTGTTTCTCATCAATGTTTTCTTCATAATACTGATAAATTGAAATACGTCCTTAATGGAAAGTTGGATTGATGTACCCTCAATGTACAATAAAGCACTGAAATTGAGCTACCTGAGACAAATAATTCATCATCTCCATTTCTTATAATTTCCTTATCTTTGAATAATTTGAGCAGTCTACTATTAATTTTTGTTCCTCTTTTGCTGATTCATCATTTTCTATCCTACTAAACTTCTGTGGATATTACAAAATTTGATATACTTTATCGATATAACCACTTTTGTCCATGCATACTACTGCATTACCATTGTCAGCTCGTAATATAACGAACGATTTGTGCATTTTTAGTTCTATTAATGCAATTCGTTCTTCATCAATTAAACTTGAAATGCGTTATTTTCCTCACTCTTTGAATTAGTTCTTTAGCAGCTAATTTAATTTGATTATGCAATGGTTTTCTAGAGATGTTTCTCTTCCATGACTCATATTTAATTTCTATTAGCCCGTATTTAATTTCTGTTTGTATATTGGAAGGCTCAATGAGGTTCTCTTCTATGTGAAATTTTCAACCTCTGCTTAGTAATTTCAATTGTGAAATGCGAAATAATTTGGACAATAAATAATAAATTTATTTGTCCAGAGGGAGGAAAGAAGTTCGTGTATGAATACCTACAGCACCAAGCAACATAGAAATTTTAATCTCATATGAATTTTTGACTGTAGCTATTTCTGCTTGTTCTTTGTCATGCAGATGTAATTTTATTCTATAACGATATGAGGTAAAAAAAATTAAAAACTTCATCAAACCAATACAATTCAATTTTTTTCTCAATTTAATTGGATTCGTTTGTTTTTCTGCGTATTCAATACAAAGTAGTTGACGTTGAAATTTCTTCGCTTGAGGAGATGAAGCAAGATTGGTGTGGGTGTGACTGAGGGTCCTAGTATGGATCTGAGTGTTGGTGGGCGAAGGAGAAGAGAACAGTAACTCACACACTCACATCCACAATCCAAAATTCAAGTATGATGTTCCGGAACCAAAGAGGTAATTAATGTGCATCAGATGAGGCATATTTTAAATATCCACGATTAACGTTGCGTCAACCATCTGATTGAATGACGAACATCGGTTAACTGTATTTTCATGCTGAGTTAATCACCCATATTTTCCCGAATAACAACGATTAATACCATTCAATTCGGTCAGCTAGTGATGTTTTTCTGTAGGTGTCTTATCGATATAAAATTTCTATATACGAGTGTGAATCATTCCAATAATTCGTTTAAAACGGCGACTGTTCGTCACTTATATATTATTAGTATCTTATTTCAATACAACAGAAATGACAGCGAACTAATTATTCGAAAAGAACACTGAGATTGGTTGTTGTATTGGCCAAGAAGGTATTCAACGAGTCAAGATATTTCTTTGTTTGATATGAGATCTATACGTTAAGATTTACACCTAGTTCTATGTTTCTTATACAAATGATCGAACAAGAAAGGTATCAATCTCAGTAAATAGATATCCGTATCATCAGCTGGAAAACAATGCTTTGTCTGAAAATTTGTTTTTATGATCATCATCGGAAGTGTGGCAACTGTATGTTTTGAGTGTCATTCTGTATCGAGAGTTTTGCATTGGTTTTTTTGTATACTATCCTCAATTTGATCATGGTTGATCAGCTGTAATGGATGATAAATCCTGTTAGAATGAAACTACTAGCAAGAGATTGTGGTACCAAAGCAAAGCATTCTTGCGTCACGAAACAATTCCACATTAGTATGACGATAAGATACAACAGAAGTTTTATTCGACGTTGTAAAAGATAACACTGCATCAGTGTAACTTCGATATCATCTCTCGTTTGCTTATTACGATGTAGCACATCAAAGATATGAATATACGCACATTGTTTTGAGTGTTTTAACCGATAGAATAGAAGAATAATCGACAGGTGAAGTAAAAGTCATTTTATAGTTGCTGTAAGGTAAGAAAAGGATTCATCTACGAGCAACAAAGTGCTGAATGGGTTTCGTCTAGGAAAGAACCATGATCGGATCTATTAAAGGAAATCTCAAGTGAATACACAAAAACCATTCGATCTTTCTCTTCCAATCATTGCCATGAAGCACTGAGTGGTCGGATCGCTTCGCCTCTTGATTTTTCTTCAATAGTGACAATAACGTCATTGAGAATTATTTCTATTACAAACAACATTTGATGCTATTATCATCATCATTAGCACATAGCTGCAAAAAATAATAAAATTAGACCCATCATCCATTTTAATACGGAAAAAACGTACTTGAGCTATTAGGAGCGACGTATAAGCTGAAAAATTAGATCCAGTAGTTTTTCTTGTGGAACCACGGAAATGATCTGAGATCAATGATGGATAAAGTAAAACAAAACAAAACAAAACAAAAGAAAATGATATTAAAATCACTATCATTTCTTCGAAGTTTAGTCGCACGATGGATGGAAATAATTCGAAAACGAATATCCGGGATAGTCTTCTACGAAAGTTATTTTTTATTTTATTTTCTTCTTTATAATCCTTTAGATATACAGGTCTTTTTGACAAAATAGTAGTATACACTTTTGTACCTAGATCATGTCGCAATATCAATGGAACAAAGACGGTACGAAAATTTCTACTGAGATCCCTCCAGCCTATACATCACACTATCATGCCTGTCTCACTCTTAACATGTATGATCGTCTGCGACTCATTCGTTTTCCTATGCCGATCGTTGATGCTGTTCGACAGGCTATTCTAACTGGTTGGCCACGTGGTATACAACTTGAGCAACAACGTTTAGGTGCTCATGAATTCAAACTGTACGGAAGACCTTGGTTGGGACAAAGTGTTGAGGCTATACCTGCGCGTATTCTTATGTATATAATGTTGACTAGTTAACTGATTCAATTGCCCAGTTTTTTTTTCCTAATAGAATGACTGTTCTCTCTGCATTATATCATCATGGATGGTATCTTCTAACAGCAGCTGATGTTTCAAAGAAGGAGCAAGACAAGGACTCCCTTTTCTTTCGACTTGGTTCTCCACCCTCACCAACACCATTCTTTGCTGTTTCATTCAACGAATCAGACAAGTTGCGTTTAATTGGTGCTCCAGAAAATCTCATAGAGCCAGTGCAACAAACTATCGGTCGAGCAAATATTCAACGAGAAGAATGGCGTGACAATGGAGCAGCCTATCAATTGAAACTGTATAGATCTCTCTTTTTCTTTTCACTCAGAAAACTCTTTTATATGTAGGCGTGGCAATCCATGGTGGGGCAGTGGGGATGAAGCTATCACCGCTCGCGTGACATTGTTAGCTCTGCTCGACTGCTTTAATTCGTTTGGTTGGGAACTCTATGCAAGTATTGACATCAGCGGTGAATCAGGCAGCGATACGGACAGCTGGTTCTTTCGGCAGAAGACTCAGTAATGGTCGGGAAACGTTTTCCCAACATTATCACATCTATATTTCACTATTTGCTAACTTGTCATCCTGTTGTTTTCGAATGCTGTTCTGAATGACAATGCGAGGATTGTTTGGAAGGCTGTGATACTATCAAAAGAGAATATTCAGTGATCCGAGGATCATAAAAAATATATTCTCTCATAAGAGGGTGTGAGTGAGTGTGGGTGTGGGTGTGTACGTGTTAGTGTTGATCTTCTTTTCACTCACATCCACACCTATATTCTATTTGGACTCTAGAATCCTTATTTGTCGGTCGCTTTAAGAAAGCTTTTTTACCAAAATGATCAGCGCAGGGAGCTCTTCAAGACAGACTACATTTAACAGTTTTTTTAAGATCTTTGTTTTTTTATGGTTGACTACCTATAGAATCACTTCCTAGTGTTTTTCAAAAGATAGACTTGATCATATTTCGAGAACGAATAGCCATAGACACGAACAGTTTGAGATTTCTCTTAATCTCAATAAGTCCTACTTATAGACAGAACATGAGCTCAAAAGCAAGGAGTCAATTGGAGTGGTTCCCTAGTCAGATTTGAGTCAAAAACTGTTTTGTTTAAAAAGAATGGATACAGTTTCAGACAATAGACGTAGATAATGATATTTTTATTTTTAATATACATCTTCATCTGTATTTTTGATAGAAACAAAATTTGAATCGAGTACGTCGAATGGAAAAACCGAACACGAAAAATTGATGCATTGTGGACTTTGCAATCGATGAAACCTAATGGTGACAGCCGTCCTGTAACGCTATTTTTTAGATTATTCTTTTGCTATGTGTGTCTCGTCTCTGAAAAGCGCTTTACATTTGCTATCCTCATCATAATAAAAAGCAACATCATGCTATTTTTCGCGTACTGGCAATTGTTTTGCCTCCCTTCCTCTCTCTCCTAATTTTTCTCTTTAATGAGCAATGTTGTCTCGTGTATTGGGTGTGAGTGTGGAGTGTGGGTGTGGATCGCTAGGGGTATGAGTCTCGGATGATAAAATCCAGATGTCATGTCCCTGAAAAGCAATCGTCAGTTAGCTTTGACTTTATCGTATTGGTTCGAATGATTCAAATAAAAACAAGTATCATAAACAAAATACATATGTCTATACAGAAACCTCAAACAAAATATTAGAAAATATAATGAAGAAGACGATAGATATCCGATTAAGACGGTGTGAGTCTCGAATACCAGGATCCAGATTTCAATATTTAAATAATAAGAGAGATTAAATTCCAAGTATCACATGATGTTTCGTCTCGGATAAAGGGACTTATTGGGCATGTCTAGAATTTAATCTCTTATCTTCTATATATTGAAAAATTAAACAGGAACTATTATAAATTGAGTCATTACCTATCAACTTAATTTTGAATGATTTTGATTCTTTCATGTAATATTACATTCTAAACATGCCTAATGATTCCCTTTAGCAAGGACGAAGCGTCGTGTAATGTTTTGAATTTAATCTCCCTTATCGTCTATGTATTGAAATCTGGATCTTGGTATCCGAGACTCATACCATCTTAATCGCACATCTATCGTATTCTTCATTAGGTTTTCGAATCTTTTATTTGCATTGTCTGTATAGGTATATATATATAATATGTTTATGATTCTTGTTTTTACTTGAATCATTCGAACAAATACGACAGAGTCAAAGCCAACTAACGACTGTCTTTTTGGAGACATGAAATCTGGATTTTATCATTCGAGACTCAAACTCACATCCGCGCCCACGTATAAAATGTTAAGAACGAGCTATGAATGTGAATGTGAGGGTGTGAGGTGTAGGTGCAGATCAACAACAAACTGATACTAACACACCCACATCCACACCCTATTACTATTACCCTTCTGCTAGTAACAGAGCAAAAGAATTCTTGCTCGTTGTAATCATATGAAAACATTGCTTGCTAAAGAAAAATCATTTTTCAAAAGATATTTTTCTTCGTTAATGAACTGTAACAAATGTGTTTTTTTTTGTTTTTTGGTATTCTCACATTTAACCCACAGAATAATGTACGAAAACGTCATATACAACAAGACGTCATATCTAGTCGATTATCATTTTATATAGCGCAGAATTTGTAGATATAGGCTGTAGGAAAATTTTCTTAAATATGGTGAATTGTCAATTTTTGATAGATTATGTTGAATTAGTTAACGTCTTCTATGCCAAATAGAAATATAATTGTCAAAAATGAATTATCAAGTTTTTCGGTCTATCGTGTATTTGATGATTCATCAAGGGAAAATTCGATATACTATTTACATATGCAGAATAGTTTGATTATTTCGAAGGAATTCTTCAACTATTTATAATTTACAAGATACATAATAAGTGGTTAATGTGTGGATGAAAAACTATATACCGATAATTAAAAAGGCTTGAGCAATTTAATGATTATCAATACTAGATAATTTAATAGTTTGAGTAGAGAATTAAAGCAATACTAGATTAAATCAGAAATTTTTACATAATTAGTAATATTAATACGGATATGCAGGTTTAGATTACTGACGATTGACATCGTCGACTCAGTGCAGTTAGTATACACTTATACATTGACACCATTGTTCATTAAAGCATTCGAACGTAGCGCAATAAAAAAGACATAATTTGATAGAGTTGATATATCAATGATTCACCGACCAGCAATGTCAGTGTATTAAGTGCTTCGCTGAACACTGATGTCAATGTAATCAATGTCCTAGTCGATCCTGTGTCGGTGACTCACTATTCAGTATTTCAGTATTTACATTAGCACTGCATATTCTTCAACGTAAATTGCCCAGCGAAGAAATATTGCTAACTTAAATATAGACTTTTGAAAGGAAGAAAACTGGTTTTTTCTAAAGAATGTACACTATTGAGTGTGGGTGTAGATGTGGTGTGGGTAGGGAATAGAATGAATTGAACTCTCACACCCACACCCCACACTCTTAGTCTAGTTTTTCGTTAAAGGATATTTTATTTGGTTAATATTGTGAAGAGAAAGACTAATTAAAAAAATTAATAAATAATCTGTATTTATTATAGAGGCAAAAAAAAGTTAGAAACGATATTCACAGACAATATGTGAATTTTTCTGTTCAAAGAAATAATTATATAAGTCAATTATAAGTTTTATCTTGTTTAATTTTATTATTATCCATGATTTCATCTTTAATATCCGTAACACATTTACTAACGTCAGTTATATCCCATGGAAAATCATCATTAGCATCAATAAAAACATCTTTAAATAAAAATTGATGAAAACGTTGTTCATACTCATTAGGTGGAATAAGAGAATGTTCAAGATGCCTATCAGAATCAGTAAGTTTTCGAAATGTATGATCAAGAATTCTAAGAGTATCATATGTTTGAAGGATATCAATCAATGCTAAATAAATATAAACACGTTTATTAGTTCCATTTATAATACCTGGAATAGGTAATGTTGCATAAGCAATAGAATCATCATTATAATATAAATTCATGTTAATTTTTTCTTTGAGAATTTCTAATGGTTTTAAATATGAATTTGGTAAAGATGTTGTATCAAGTTCAAAAATTGATGATGAAGTAATAGGAGTTGAATTCTCTATTTGGTTTGGTGTAAAACTATTAGTTGCACGAAGAAGAGCTGTAATTCCTTGTACCTTTTGACGTTCTAACATTTGTGATTCAGACATATCTAAATGTCTGATTCCAAGTAATAATGAATAATCCATTATATTAAGTTTTTTTAAAGCTTTTGCATCATTAGTAATAATAATTTTTAATTTTTGATAAATATTTGTTGGTATACGTATACCATCTGGATATAATTCTGTAAAATTCATATCTTTTAATTTGTAGAATTTTTCTGTTGATAAATATCCAGTTATTTTTCGTCTTATTGTTGAACCTTTTAAATCAAATATTTCATTAATTTTTAATGATGGTGTAAATGCATTAATTGTAATAGCAACATAAATTATAATATTTGATGATGATGTTTGTATACGCAATGAATATAATCCAACATAACGATTAAGTAAAGTTAAATATTGTCGAAATCGTAAATGATAACCAGATAAAATTTGCAATAATAAACGTGCTTCATAATCAAGTAAAGTTTTTAGAATAAATAATTGATCATATGTTTTATACATTAATGAACCACTTCTACCTGTATTTGTGAAATCTTTTAAATTATATTCAGAAAATGATTGACGAAATTTTTCATTTGATATACCAATATCTTCACGTAATTGATAAAACATAGTTGGAGCTAATGAACTTATTTCAATATTTATTTTATCATCATTATTAGTTAATTCAGCAAATTGAATATTATCTTCTTTGACATTTAATGTATATTGACACGAATGATATAAATGATTTTCATTACCAAAACTAGTTGTATCATCTTCTTTATATTCATGAAATCTTTTTGTTACATGATCAAGTAGATCAATAATACCATGACATAATGCTGGTCCAATAGCTGAAGTTTTTGAACTAACATAGCGCAACGTTATTGGAGCTTTCACAAAAGATGCTGCATGAAAATCTAATCGATTCAATACATCAATATTTAATAAGCCTTCACTTATTTCGCTATTAGTGGTCATCATGTTTCTTCTTTTTTTCTATGTGGATCGTAAGAGTCAGTGAATGAGTGTCCCGTTTCAATCAATCAGGTAAAACGAAGGATAATGACTATGATAAAAAAAAACATATCAATATGACCGATTTTGACTGCATTAGAAATATGATTGTGTTATGAAGGCGTGGAGTGTGGGTATGGAGTATATCTTCATTATAATCACTCTTACACCCATCCACACTCCTAATGAACTATGGAGATTGTTAACAGATTTTTGAATATTAATTTTAGTTTATCAAAACATCGCCTTTTTTTAAATTCCTTGTAAGATATTGCCGCGATTTCTCTCGGAAACATCGAAAAAATAGATTTTCGACCTGAAACTCTGCATACACTAAGATCTTAAAAAGGAATTTCAAAGTAATAAATTGAAGTTCAGATGCTTTGGGACGTTCGGTCCATTATCTGATACATTTCCTTTACACATAAGCAAACGGTTTGTTGTTTATTGACCGGTATAGCCAGCCGTTTATCGACAGATAGACGATCACGAGTGATAGAAACAAACAAAAAGGATTATTATTTTTCATAACATTAATATTGAATTGATAAAATATTTCTTGTAGAAATAAAAAACTTTATTAAAGAGCATTTAGTTATTAACTAGGATGTTTTTCAAGGTCAAAAGAGCTCGACATTTTTCAGCAGCTTGACAAAACAATAAAAGTTCACATTTTTGCTAAAATATTAGCATTGAAAATTAGACAGTTTCATAGGTTTTATTATGAACTTTCCATGGACTATACGTGTGTCAAAAATTCCAGAAGACTTCATGAAACTTCTGAAATATTATGGAACTTCACAACGAAGTCTCGATTATTTGCTTCTCGATCCTATGTCATTATGACAAGATTTTCTAATATAGGGATGCTTCTTGTATAAGGGGATATCTGAAATTCAGAAAAAATTCGAAAGTCAGACAGACTCCAGAAAAACTTAAAAATACCGAAATTTCTCCGTAAAATCTAGAAGATTTGGCAACACTGATTGCACTTCTTTAAACCCTTATAAGGATTTAGAAAAATAAAATATCCTTTCATACAACCTTTGCAAGAGTATATGAAACGGTTTACGATACACTTAGTCTTACCATTATATTCTTGAATCGAGATGAATGAAAAGAAAAAAGAAATTCATTGCAAAACAAATTTTGCTTTTTCTCTAGTCAACACTGCCATGGTGAGTTTGAATCAACATCCTAAAGCAATCACAAACGTATCAAATTTTGTTTTGTATGTTGATTTCAACTTACTATCACTTGATTGGATCAAGGCAAGTCGAAAGAAGAAAGAAATTCATTGTGAAATAATGTCCTGTTTGTGATTTATTCTAACGCATAGTGAGAGAATATACAAGGAGAAAATACTACTATAATAAATTCTACAACTTATTGGAAATAAACTAACATAAAATGTATTTTGCGTGTATTGAGAATCCCTGATACTGAGAATTTTTTATCTTACTCGACTTAAAAAAATGTCATTTATTCCTTTTTAAAGTGTGGCAGAAATCGAAAAACCTTTTTTATTCTAGCATTCTTAATAAGTGTGAGTAATTCTCTGATTCTGCGATCATACTGACGACTGAATTTTTTTCTTTTCTACAGTGTACCATCGTAGAGAAGGTCAAAATTTGAATGTTATTATGTTGTTATACTTTTTTGCACAGAAAACAGCAGAAAGGAAAGAGTATTACTTAAAAGAAGCCACGAATGAATCGAAAGAAACCAAAAGAAAAAGATTAATAAAACTTTTTGTTAGTTACAAAAGAGATGATAGAAAAAGGTGATTGATAACGGACAGGGTGTTTCATAAATAGCACTATGATAAAAAAAAAAGAAATATCTTCGTATAGGCTAAATGAAATGGACTCAGGGCGTAGATATATAGTGTGGGTGAGGACAGAACTGATACCTGCACCTACACTCTGATTATGACGTTAGTTTGAGTTGCCCACTCGTCGAACAACAAGCACTTCTGATTAATTCTGCTATCTGTAAAAATTAATTTTTAATCGACTAAAAACTCAGAACTTTTATTGTTCTTGTTTGGTCGAAGATGAGCCAAAAGCCAGCTGAATCATAACACATTTCATCTTTTTATTATCTGACTGAACTTTAGTGCAAATATGAACCTTATAAATTCAGTTTCATAAAAATTTGTTTATATAACAGCTGTAACAAATATGACTTAGGGAATAAGTTAGAGATGAAACGACATTCTACCAGTTATTACTAGTGCAATAGAATGCCTTTTTTTTTTATAAATAAACTATAGAATGCTCAATCGATTCATCAATCAATTCGAGATTACAATACGGTGCTAAAAGAATGCGAATGATCTGCGTTCGTTTTACATTTACATTCTTAAAATAAATTGTCCTTTTTACTAATTGCTGGTTGGCTAGGCACCGCCCAACCTGGCTTCACCTTATTTATGCCACTAATCGCCGTATTGTTTGTGTATCTTGCTTGTAAAATTCATAAGAAAACAAATCTTTGGTGAAATGATAATCCACCAATCATTACAATCACAATAGATGTCTCTTTATTCAGAAAAATAAACTACAAGGATGTGAGCGTACGGTGGGTCGTTTTTTAAGTATTTTCTAAAGAAAAATGATTCTTTCAATCCTCAATTGATGGCTATATTTCAGTCAAAAAACCATCGTAGACAACACGGAAGTGACTCATTATATGGGAAAATATATGCTCTACTAACCATTATAAGCAATCTAAACAAGATTATATTTACGCATTCTAGATGCTAAAAACAAGAGTTTTAACTTTAAATATCTGATAATATGTTTTTATTGCCTGAGATTTTTGTTGGAAACAATATTCTCTATTCAAATCACTATTTGGATTCTTTCTAGTTCTCAAGTCAGCAGAAAAAAAATTGAAAACAAATTTTACTAAACAACATCGATACTCACTGTACATACATACAAAAAGAAAAAGAAAAGATGATGCTTTTTTAAGAATAAATTTATTTAACTTTGTTATGCGGAAATAACCGAATGATAAAAATACAGCAAAAAAATATCTATAACGCTAAATACAACATGTTCATATACAAGTTAATATTTGTTCATTTATTTTTTTAAGTGAAACATAAACCACGTCGACATGCTTCACAATGTTCTTTAACGTGTGGTGCCATCATTCTTCCTCTTCTTTGAGTAGGATCATGACGTGATGCACGAGATCGTTTATTATTATTTTGTACTAATTCTTGATTTTCTAATTCAATATTATTAATCATATCGGGAAAATATCTTTCAAAAATTGATAAAGCTAAATTTTTCATTACTCGACAAACTTCACCTAAAATATACGAAAATAAAAATTTACAATATAATATAATAAGAATAAAAAGACTTACCAATATACCAAAGAGCTTGAGTATATGTATGACAATGTTGACAATCTTGACCGAAAATTTTAAGTACAATAAAACCAATTTTTGGTGAACTAATTGAAAATGAAATTCGAGATCGCATTGATGTCCATGAATGTTGACAATAAATATTTGGACATTGAAATTGTGCTTTAGCATTATCAAGTTTAAGATAATCAAATTGTAAATTTGTATAATATTCATCAGCAAGTTCTTCTTCAGCGAAAAGATAATAACGAACTTTGTGGCATAATGATAATGGAACTGAAATACGTCGAGCAAATTCACCATGAAAAGCTATACTTGTATCAGGACAAAAATCTTTTTTTGTATCATCCAAAATATTTTGAGCAAGTTTAACTGAGAAAAATATAAATAAATAGAAAAAGCAACATTTAGTATAACGATATTACAAATGTTTGCTGAGTCATAATGACTAAGCAACAAAAAAAAATATTGTCCAACTTACGATCTTTTTTAATAAGTGAAGGTGTTGTTTCATCTTGAGTTTCACATTCTGAAAAACCATCATCAAAATTCGGAATGAATGATTTTATTGATAATTGATCTTCATTATCATTCCCTATTGCTTGAAAAACATATTCTAATTGTTGTTGTTCAATTTCTTCTATACCTGAATCATCATCAGATATTAATTCAATTGAAGTTTGATCATTTGCAGATGAACATCGGCGAAATTTTGCACGATAAGATTTATCCATTTTGGAATGATCTGCAGTTGAACTATGTTGACGAGTTAATTGAGGAATTGATCCAGCCATAATTAATTTTATTATTTGAGATAAGACTGTGAGTGTGTGTTGAAAATCTGAAAGTGAATGTGAAAGGTTGACGTTTGAATTTATATAGGAAGAAAAGGGTATAATGAGTAAACTGAGTAACTTTATTTTCATTTCGATGATGTAATCTTAAGGAAAGAACGAGAAAAGAAAAAACCGAGTAAAACCTTGACGAAAAAAAAATACATAACGATCAATAAAAGAATATTTAATTCTATTTCTTAAGAAAAATTAGAAACAAATAGATTAATTAAAGGAATATTAAAATTCCTTTCAAAATAAAATTGAAATATTTATGTTTGAAATAAAAATCTGAATTATTTGAAGAAGCAAAGAAAATTCGAAGCCATTTCGAATAAGTCAAGTAAAGTAAAACAACAATAAATTATTTTTTTTATCGTACAACTACTTTTGTCTCTGAAAATTAATCAGGTTATGTTTTTTTTGTGTGTCATTTTCTCATGACGTATCTAAATGATGCAATTACAGAAATGAAACGAACAATATTTTAGTGTTCTTGTTTGATTATGACTAGATGCATATAAAGAAGTATGTTTTATATACATTTACATATAGGCGCAATAGAGAACGAGAGAATGATATACCTTTTCTTTCTGCTCTTGCTCAATAATTGAAAAAAAAAGATTATAGACATCAGCTGATTTTTTTTCCTTTATTTCACTTCAGCCATTTAGTTGGAAAATTCCAAGGTGATGCAATAACTCATCAAAATGACTCATCTTTAAATGAAAAAAAACGAAAAAGAAATG